GCGCTCTGCACGTCGGGGAGGGGGGTCCAGCGCAGATCCAAGAGATCCGCGCGGACCACCGAGGAAGCGCGTTCCTGCAGTTTGTGCCCCTATGGCTGCTCAATTTCCTTCTCCACCGTGGGGGTGAGTGGGCCAGCGCCGTCTTGGAATCTGGTGCTTCCCAGACGGCGCTGGCGCGAATCGTGACGATGTCAGAGGCAGGGTGGGGAGTGGCCCTGGTCACGGGCGCTGTCGCGAGCAGCTAGAAATCAAACCCCAAATGCCCTATTCACAAGCCTCGTTTCTTTTTCTACCCCTCATCATCTATGGTGTCGTTTTCCCCTCTGGGCCATAACGCGCTTCATGCCCCCCCCACCTTTCCCCCCCTCCCCTTCCCCCCATCACGTAACGCTACCCCTCCCCAGTGCGTCCCCGGCACTGCCGAAGTGCGTCCAGCACCATACTTCGTCGTGCCCGACCCACGTGGCGGTATAGGTGGGGGGTGGGGGGCGTTACGTTACGCCCCCCCCACCCCCCCCCGCCCCCCCCCCGCCCCCCGCCCCCTCCCTCCCCCCATGACCCGGTTATCGCCTCGACTAGAGAAAACATCTCTCCTCCTCCTTCGGGTCCTTTCTTGCGCCCCGCCTTCATCTCGCTCGTCCTCGGTGCGCTAGGTGCTCCTCTCTGTGGAGCGCTTCGTGATCAGTGGGTACCTCCTGTTCTGGATCGTCGTGTGGGCGCACGTCGCCAGGGAGGACACCCCTGCTGCCCTTCTCCTTCCCAGGAGAGGGAGGCCAACGAGGGTGCTTTTGTCGCTCCTCCGCTTTGCCGCAGAGTGCTGGGGACGGGTGGTGAGACACTCGGCGGCGAGCGATGGGGGGGGAGTGAGAAGGAGAAGGGCCTGCACAGAAGGCGCCGGGACGGGACTTCTCAGAAGCCCTCGCGCCTTCCGAGAGGTTTGCTGTGTCTCCGGGGAAGGCTTGGGGCACTTTTTCAGACGGCCGGCGGGCCTCCGAGCCTTCTGAGACGACCTTCTTCGCACTTCCCCCCCCAGGCTCGGCTCGCCGCCGAGGCACGGGTGCCAGCCTGCATCGCCCAAGCCTCTCTTGATGCGCGCAGCAGGTCCTGCTTCCAGCTGCACGGCCTGGCCCCGGGCGGCATTCCAAGCATCGAGCCCCTCGGCGTGGCCGGGCGAGAGGAGGGGGCCCAGTTACCCTGAGCACGTGGGCGGGAGGAAGAAGATCCGAGGGGGGAATTTGTCCATACGGTGGGGGCGTTGGTTAAGGAATGTGCTTAGGAGGCTTTAGACCCTGGAGGGTTCCTTATCTGATCAGGGCGGCGGTGATATCCATGACCAAGCCTCAATTGGAGTTCCACTGGCTTCCAGACCCTGGATTCCTTATCCAATTGTTCATCATCCAATGACCACACCGTAACCACCGCCTGGGGGATCCGACTTGGCGAATCTCCACAGGCGGTGGATGTGAAAGCATTCGGGCCCCCCGGGGGCCAAAATGTGTCCAGATCCACCGCCCAATGGGGCAACAGGACGTCGGTTCCCAGGCGGTGGGTGTGGGTACATCTCCGCCTCGCAGAAGAAGGCGGAATGGGTGGCAGCTTCGTGGGAGGGAGCGAGGGAGGGGACTGCAGCAAGGCAGCCGCCAGATGTTGGATCGAGGGAGATGCCGAGCAGGAGGGGCCAGGAGACGGGGGAGTGAAGCAGGCAACGAGGCCGAGCCGACGTAAGTGGCGAGCCCACAGGCGGAGCCGCTCGGGCCTGTGCAGGCTCCCCGAAACCCTGCACTGCGCGGTCGCCTGGTTCAATTGTATAGTTGCGCCAATACCTTGTAGCCCGCGGCAGTCGTCTGGCTATGGGTTCCGACAATTCTGAAGTGTGAGCAGTCCATCGACCCTTTGAAAAAAAGGGCACTCAGCGAGGGTCTTCGGTTGTAGCCCGCCGCCGCTTTGACCGCGACGACCCTCTTGCCGTCGCGACCAAAAAAGAGAGAAAAGTACGCCTGCCTGCCTGCTGGGCGGCGGGACGGTCTGGCGTCCCTCCTTCCGCGGCTCGTTCGAGACTGCGCCGCAGCCTGCTGACGAAGGCCTTCACGGTCTGAGTTTGGCTCCTCCCCCCCGTCCGTTTCTCCCCTCCGTGGCCGCCTTGCTCCTCTTCTTCCCGCCCCGTGCCGGGCTTTATTCGCGGCCCAGCGCCCCAGGGCCTCTCAACCGACCCGCGCTCGCCAGGCCTGCGTCGAGAGTTACGGAAGCCGCAGGTAGGCCCTCGGACAATGGGCACTCAGCGAGGGCCTTTCGGTGCAGCCCGCCGCAGCTTTGACCGCGACTGCCCTTTTTTGTCGCTGCGGCCAGAACTTCCGCCTGCCTGCCTGCTGGGCGGCCTGCTTCTGCGGCGGCCGCCGCCCAGCCACCCGCGCCAGCCTCCTCGAGGCGCCTCGAGAGCTGCCCGACGGCCGCGCTGCGAGCCCTGCAGGATCACTGTGCCAGTGTACTTCAGCATCCTGCGGAACGCAGGGGGGGCCGTACAACAGGGCTCGAGCTAAACGGTGTCTTCGCGATTTCGTGGGCCGCTTTCGTTTTGATCGCGTTTCTCAGCAGGGGCAGAACGAAGGCAGAGCGAGGGAAAGCGAAAACGAAAAAGGCGGTTCAAGCTCGAGCCCTGCTAATTGTACACCTTCGTGCAGCGCCTCGTGCGGGGCTGGCTCTCGAAGGGGAAGGCCCTTCTCTGGTCGTGCAGCAGCAGCGAGGAACCTGGGACTGGTGATGGGGGCAGAGGCCAGAGGGCTTTCTATTCAGTCGGGCACGTCCTTCCACAGGAGGAATACTCAAGCATAGTATATATATATATATATATATCTCATAATCTGGAGACGGTTTTTAACTTAGTTGTTAAACACTATGTTTGACCATCTTTGAGTAGTTTAAATGATTCGTCCCAAATCCGCCCGTAGGGGGACATGCCCGGCCTAAGCTTTGTAGCGGAACGCGCCCTGCACACCCAGCAGCAGTGACGCCTCTAAACATCAGTTTTGGGGGTCGGCAGCGAAGCGCCCGCGCCCCTCGCCCCTCCCTGCCCCCCTCGCACCGGCCCCAACCTCGGGGCCCGCTGTTGGGCCTCAGCTCGGCCGCTGGGGATGTCGCGCGTTGCGTTCAGCGCGCGACCGTTCCATCGCCAGGACCAGCCCAGGCGATCGAGACGCAGCCAAGCCTTACATGCTCGCCTTGGGGACTTTCCTGGGGCCCACCTCACGGACCTGTTCGGCTCCAGTTCGACTCTGGTTCGACTCCGGTTCGACTCCGCTCGACCCAAGCTCATGTCGAGGGGCGTTCGACGCAGCATCGGCGCATGGAGTGGAGCGAGTGGCTCCAGGAAGGTTTCCAGAACGAGCATCTGGCAATTCCGACCGCCCTGGCTCCTCCTGGGCCTCGCCGCGGTCCTCCTGGGCCTCCTGGCCGCCCCCCTGTCGGCGGGCGCCGGCTGTGCACCAGCGCGGCCCCCTGGCCAGACCAGTGCTGGGCCCAAGGGTTCCCTAAGGGCCTGACGACTTTTCGCCAATCGACTTGTGGGGATCGAGCCAGAGAGGTCCAGGTAAATGCAGATACATCGATGTAAATCCAGGTAAGTCGAGATCAGTCCGGGTAATAAATCCAGGTAAGACCGGAGATCTCCAGGGAAAGTTGGAACAACCCGCCTCCGCTCCAGCGCGAGTCGAAGGGCGGCAGAAGTCATTAAGCCTTTAACGAGGGATCTGTGTACACGTGCCGCCCTGGCCCAGCCAGGAGGGCGCATGCGCCGATCCTGGGCCCGTGGCCATGGCGACTCCCGGATTTCGTGGGCCGCGCTCCTCATTTCAGCACGTTCCCTGCCCCCCCCCCGTCCGCGCACATGCCTCGGTCCATGATGCGCGACCCCCCCTCTTGGACGCCCCCGATCGTTGCTGCGCCTCTCGGTGCCACCCCACCCTTCACCCCTTCATTAGCGGGGCCCAAGAATGTACACCACCACCGCCTCCCTCACCCTTTTTTCCAATGAGAGCGGAGAGCAAGAGGAGGCTGGACGAGGGGAGGGGGGACAAGGGTGGTGGTGGTGTATCTATTCTTGGGGCCCGCATTCATTTGCGCCCTCACATTGTCTGGGTTCCGCGTGCCGTTGTCGCTGACGTCCTTGCCACGGTCGATTGTGACCAACGCCAAGGTGTGAGCTCCACCTCCGCCAGTTCAGCTGTCTGTACGGCCCGCCAGCCAGCCGGTTGTCGTGGCATCTTTCGTCGTCGGAAGGGCACGAGTTCTCGGCTTCGTCCCGTCTCGACCAGCGCTCCCCGTCTCCAGCTTCTTCTTCTCTTCCGTTCCTGGACCGATCTTTACGTTGCATCTTCGGGGGACCTCGTCTGTCGCCAGAATGGGTGTCTTTTCTTGTGCCCGACGCGGGCCCGATGCGTGCTCGACGCGGGTCTGGCGTGGATTCGACGCGGATTCGACGAGGCCGACATGTATTCGACAAGAATTCGACGCGGATAGGGGCGCGACTGGACAGACAAGGCACCCCGAAGATGCATAACGATCTTCTTCATCGTGCAAGGAGAGCGCCACGTCCCTGGCGCCTCGCCGGACCCTGCAGTACCTGCGGCTGCACGGGACGAGCAGGGAAACGTACCAGCAGGCGCGGGGCGCGGTCTCCGCCGAAGCGGGGGGCCGCGCAAGGGGGAGTCCTGCAGCGGGACGGCCCCTCCCCTCCTTCTCCTTCTCCTCCTCCGCCTTCTCCTCCTCCTCCTCCTCCTCCCCCTCCTCCTCCTCCTCCTCCTCCTTCTCCTCCTCCTCCTCCTCCTCCTCCTCCACCTCCACCTTTGGTTCTTCCATCTGCCTCGCCCTCCAGCCCTTTGCACAGATCATCTCACTCCTCCCCGTCGCACCCCGGGTGGCCGTTCTTTTCGCTTCAGACTTCCTCGCCATTTGCGATTCTGAAGCTTGAAGTTTGCAGCAGTTCCAAGGCTGCAGAGAAGGCCCTTTTCAACAAGTGGTTCTCGGTTTAGCGCCGCGCGCACCCGTTTTAAAAGTTTGCAGCAGCTTCAAGGATTGAGGGTGGGTCCTTGTCAGACTGTGGCTCTCGTCTTGGCGCCATGCGCATGCGTTTTTCACAGCTGCATCAGGTTCATCGATGAAGGACGGGTCCTTTTCAATCTGTGGCTTTCGCCCTAGCGCCGCGCGCATTCGTTTTTAAAGTTTGCAACTTTTTCAAGGATTCGTAGGGTTGACCTCCCAGGAACGGTGTTCTGGCAGGTTTCGGGGTTGTCATAACGTAGCGGTCACGCTGGTTTGCGGTGGTCAGGTCCCAGGAATGGTAGTCTGGAGCGGTTGAGGATTGACAGCACGCAGCAGTCACGATGATTCGTGGCGTTGAAGACCCAGGATATTTGTTTTGGCGCGATTGAGGGTTCTGAGACAGTTGTCTTTCAAAGGGGCACTTCCCGCGATGAAAATACATTCTTATAGGGACCTGTGCAGGGGGATCTTGGGAGGGTTTATTGCAACATCGTTGATGCGTCTTGGGTTTAAACTTGCCCTCCTCTCCATCCTCTCCCTCCCTCTCCCTCCCTCCCTCACTCCCTCCCCTCCCTCCTTTCCTCCCTCCCTCCCTTCATCCCTCCCTCCCTCTGTACTCCTCTTCCTGCCCTGCTCGTCCGGCGCATTTCCTGCAGGCTGCTTATCACTTGTCACACTTGCCCAGCGCCCTGTCTGCCCTGCGGGGGGCCGCTCTGGCCAGCGGAGCTGGCGGACAGACTTCCTGTCAGGGCCCCCTCAGGCGGGATCATTGACAAACCAGGACACCTGCGCGCTCGATCAATCTGTAGCCGTAAGTCGAAGCATTTTCCATTCTTCGAGAAGGAGATCGACTACAGAATTGGTTTATTCCCAGAGCTTCAACTTCCCTTGGATCTGGGATATGCGCATGACATCCCAGCAAATCTGCGAAGATTCGACACATGGCTTGCGGATTCGGCCAAGACGCAATTCTGGGGAAAAGCAGTTCCGTAGTCGATATCTCCCACTCGAATTCTCACCTCGGCTCTCTGCAGGTGGAGCTCCGATGGGCCGGGCCCGCAGTGCCCTGGTCGCTGGGGGGCCCCGGCCCCGTCCTCGGCGGAGAAGGGGGCGGAGGACCGGGACGGGGCGGAGGTGGCGGCGGGCCCGTCGGCGGGAGGCCTGCGGCGAGGGCGTCGGCGGAGGGCGGCGGACTGGCAGCAGGCCAGAGGGCGGAGCCTTGTGCGGAGCGAAGAACACACACACACACCAAGGCGATGGGTGCGTGTCGTCGGCGCTCGAACGGGAGCCTCCCCAGGGGTCCGACAATCCGCGCCCAAGCCCATGGCCAGTCCTCCCTCCGACCTCCATATGGATATGGATGCGTGTTGTTCGTTCGTCATTTTGGAGCTCTGGATGGCTTTCACGCCGGTCGCTGAAGGTAGGTTTTTTTTTAGAATTCCCAGATCCCAAACTGCTTCAAGCGCCTTCCTGCTAAAAGATGCGAGCGGTTTTCCGTCTTCCCTCCTCTTCAGGAGGCAGGCGGAAAAGCTATCTATTTCCAGTGCCTTCCGACTTCATGATTCGACACACTTCTTCCGACCAACGTGTAAGTGCCCGCGAGTCGCATGGCCCGTCTACATGCGTCTCTTGGGGCCCTGCTCTGGCAAGACGTTAGGTCGTGCCGGGCAGGCTGTTCCGCTAGAGTTTTAGTCCATGAGGCCCACCACGTAGTTTCCAGCGACAAGAGGGACAAGTGCGCGCAAAAGGAAAGGCAACGGAGAGGCGTCGGCTTTTTCGGATGGAGGGCCTCCCAGAGTTGGACGTGCGGCAGTCCTCCCTCCTGCCTCATCCCTCCCTCCTCCCTCCTTCCTCCCTCCTCCTAACTCCTCCTCTCTCCTCCCTCCTCCCCCCTCCCTCCTCCCTCCTCGCTCGTGGTCGGCGGAGGGCGACGGAGGCAGCAGTGATGCGTCGACACTTTCGGATGGCGGGCTCCCGGAGTCGGACATGCCGCAGTCTCCGCGGACGATGTGTGTGTGTGTGTGTGTGTGCAATGGATTGCGTTGGGCTCACGAGGCTGGTCGATCCTCGACCCAGGAATGGTGCGGTGGATCGATGTTTGGCCCCAAGCGTCTAAAAACTATGCATCGTGCCGCGTTTGAGCGGGGCATGAGCGCCGTTTTCGCCCAGTTTCGGGCCCCGTGACCCTCACGTATCGATCTGGTTCGAACAATGGCGCATAAAGACGGGGTCCCGTGCCCCGGTCGTGATTTTTCAGGATGTTGCTGTTTTTCGAGGCGTCGGATCTCAGGAGTTTCTGGAATAGGACATGCGGCAGTCCCTCCTCCGAAGTCGCAGTTTTTTCCCGACGTGGTCCCCTGGGGCTCTCGACCCCTTCCCAACAGAGTGGTCTTGTCATCGCGGGGAGCTTTTTGACGGTCCTGGGCTGGGGAACGGGCTCAGGCAGCCGAAAATTGGAAAGTTGGACGTCGCGATTTTCGTGGGCCACCTGGAGCTGTGGGGAGTTGGTGTGGAGTCGGGCCCAGAATAGCGGCGGGAGCCAGTCGAGGGCGGGCGGTGCGACAGCGGCGTGGAGAGGTACCGACAGAGGTTGGCCCAGGTGCCCTCGGAATGGCGTCTGCTTGCCGACCTCTCTCTCCAGTGGCCCTTCGCCTTCTCTCTCCCTGGGAGGCAGAGGAGGAGGAGAAGAAGGAGGAGGAGGAGGAGGGAGGGAGGGAGGGAGGGAGTAGGGAGGAGGGAGGAGGGAGGAGGGAGGAGGGAGAAGGGAGGGAGGAGGGAGGAGGGAGGGAGGGCGGGAGGGAGGGAGGAGTAGGAGGAGGGCCAGTGTAAACCCAAAAAGCATCGGTGACCAGAGTAAACCCAAGAAGCATCAAGGATGCTGCAATACACCCTCCCCCAAATTCTCTTTCCATAGGTCCCTACATGAATTTGTTGTACTTGCAGGAAGTGCCCCAGTGGAAGACAACCGTCAGAGAATTCCCCATTGTGCCAAAACGCAATTTCGGGGACTTCAACGCCGCGACTCATCGTGACTGTTGCGTCCTGGCAATCTTAAATCGCGCCAGAATGCCATTCCTGGGACTTCCACGCTGCAGGACTTCAACCATACTATTTCTTGACATGGTTGCAGTCTTTGAAGACGAATGTGCCCAGCGCTAAGGCGAGAGCCACATGTCGAGAACGGTCCGCCCTCTATCCTTGAAGCTCCTGCAGACTTTGAACACACATGTGCGCAGCGCTCTGGCGAGAGCCACATCTTGAAAACGGTCCGCCCTCCATCCGTGAAGTTGTTGCACACTTTTAAAAGGGATGTGCGCTGCGCTGAGGTGAGAGTCACAGTTTGAAAACCGCATGCCCTCCATCCGTGAAGCTGTTGCAGATTGCACGCTTCAGGATCAGAGCCGGTGGGGAAGTCTCAGGCGAGGCGCCCGGCCCGCCTTGCCGACACGCCTGGGGGTGCGACAGGGGTGCGTTTTTCATTCGGAGAAGAGACGGAGGAGGAGGAGGAGGAGGAAAAGGGAAAAGGAGGAGGAGGAGACGAGGAGGAGGAGGGGAGGGAGGAGGAAGGAGGGAGGAGGAGTTATTGGAGGGATGATCGCGAGCAGCAGCAATAAGCGGGCCGTAGACGGCGTGAGGCAAATGCAGTTATTAATGGGGGTCGCAGCCTCGCAGAGACTGCGAGCCTTGCCTTGCGAGGGGGGACGTGGCAGGGGGTCGCGGCACCGCGTTGCTCGTTACTGCGAGTGGTCTGGAAGCGTGCGATTAAAACCAAACTTGCAAGAACACATCGTGCGCAATGAAGCCGTGGTGGGCCATTGAAGTTGAAGATCAATCTGAACATGATTGTGGATCGGAAGATGAATGTCGATGGCCGTGGTGAGGATGTTGATGATGGTGGTGGTGGTGATGATGACGACGACGATGACGGCGATGAATACGGCAACGACGACGATGCGGATGACGACGACAACGATGATAACGATGACGATGACGATGTCGATGGCGATGTCGATGACGATGACGATGACGATAGCGATGGCGATGCTGACGAAGATGCTGCTGATGCTGAGGATGATGTTGCTGCTGATGATGCTGCTGATTATGTTTATGATGATGATGATACTGTTAATCATGATGACGATGCTGATAGGGATGCTGATGCTGCTGCTGATGATGATGATGATGACGATGATGATGAGGATGCTGATGATGCTGATGATGATGGCAACGCAGATTTTGAGGATGACGACGATTCTGATGCTGCTGATGCGGCGATGATGACGATGATCGCGATGATGACGATGCTGCTGCTGATGATGCTGATGATGTCGATGATGACGACGATGACGATGGCGATGCTGATGATGATGCTGCTGATGATGCTGCTGATGATGCTGCTGATGATGCTGCTGCTGATGATGATGATGCTGCTGATGCTTCTGATGATGCTGATGCTGATGCTGATGCTGATGATGATGCTGCTGATGATGATGATGCTGCTGCTGCTCATGATGATGAGGATGATGCTGATGATCAGTATGACGCTGCTGCTGATGATGATGCTGATGATGGTGACGAGTATGATGATGACGATGCTGATTGTGTTTTTGTTGAAGAGGAGGAAGATGAGGAGGAGAAGGAGGAGGAGGAGGAGGAGGAGGAGGGGAAGGAGGAGGAGGAGGAGGACGAGGAGGCGGAGAAGGAGGAGGAGAAGAAGAAGGAGGAAGAGCAGGAGGAAGTGGATACTCATATGAATGATATTACTATGGAGGAGGAGAAGGAGGAGGAGGATGGAAAAAAGGAAGCTTCTGGAGTCGTGTAGAATCTTCGAGCTCGCTCCTGCCTCCCAGCCTCTCAGGTGGAGAAGTTCCTTCGCGAGGTATCCTCGTTCCTCCGAGTGAAGGGCGACTTCGAGCTGACGATGTCGAAGGCCCTGCCGGCGGACTTGTCCTGGAAGGTGCGCGAGGATCCCAGAGGGTCTCTGGCAGAGGGAGTGGAAAGAGGATGGGGAGAAGGAGACAGAGCAGGAGGCGGAGGTGGAGGCGGAGGAGGAGCAGGAGGAGGTTTACCAAGTACGCCATGGGCTTCATGGTGCCTAGACCCATCTTTAAGGATGAGGCGGCCGTCAGAGACGTATTGAAGGCTGTGGCAATTTGGGGAGGAGCAGCAAACGCTGCTTGGCCCACAGTAGGCTTCATCCTCAAAGTCGAGGGTATGGCCTGAAGAGAAGGAGAAGGAGGAGGAGGAGGAGAAACGTTTAGGAACGTTTGGTTTAACCACAGGCCCAGTCGGACCACGCACCCCAGTGGAGGAGGAGGAGGAGTGGGAGGAACAGCAGCAGCAGAGAGTCTGGGGTGTGGGGGGGGGGAGGGAGGGAAGGAGTGATGGAGGGAGGGATGGAAGGACCGAGGAGGGATGCTGCTGCTGCTGCTACTGATGATGATGCTGTCGATGTTGTTGTGATGATGATGACGATGATGCTGATGCTGCTACTGGTGATGATGGCCATGCTGATGCTGATGATGCTGCTGATGCTGATGATGCTGCTGATGCTGATTATGATGATGCTGATGCTGCTGATAGCGATGGCGATATTGATGCTGATGAGGATGCTGCTGCTGATTATTATGATGATGCTGATGATGCTGCTGCTGATGATGATGCTGGTAGTGGTGGTGGTGGTGGTGGTGGTGGTGGTGGTGGTTGCGGTTGTTATGATGATGATGATGATGATGATGATGATGATGATGATGATGATGATGATGATGATGATGATGATGATGATGATGATGATGATGATGATTATCCCCGCGTCTGAAGGGGTCAGGAGCTCCTAGCTCGAACTGCCCCTCGGACCGAGGCGTTTCCCTTTGGCCCTGCGGAGGCAACGCTCGGTCTCGTGCGCCACGGCGCACACACGCAGGTCGCCCGAGTGCCGAAGCGATCAGCCGCCTCAGCCGAGGCAAGCGGATGACCGATCCAATCATTCGAAGCGATTCAGCACGTTCGGCAGCTGGCAGAGGCCACGCTGTGCGGTCTAGCAAGCTGGTACACAGCTGGGCTGTACGCCGCACCTGGGAAACAACTAGGTCCTTAGGCAAACAGACACGGCTGACCGACGTTGCTCCTCAGGCCTGCGGAGATCGAACCAGAGCGAGGGCGGACCTACGCTCTCGGGTCGCCCTCCACGTCTGGGGACGGGCAGGGCACTGTCGCAGAAACGTGCCAGAAGCTACACTGAGCAGAAGGCGTGCAAGCACGCCGAGACGGAGGCAAGCGCTCGACTGCACCTCCCTTCAGCAGAGTAGCCCGTCGAATTGGCGCCAGGCCACACAGACGGACTGTTTGCATTGCCGAAGGTACGGAGCCTGATCCCGAGTGAGGGCGAACCTTCACTCCTGGGTCTGCCTCCAAAAATGCAACTCTTTTGAGGGGCTTCGAAAACCTGGCCCCGACCCAGCCCACCGCGACCTTCCACCTAGTGGCGCGCTGTGGAGGTCGCGCCTGGTGCGGCGGAGTCGGTGCCCTTTGGCCAGGGCCGGCGGCTTCGTTCAACAGAACAGTTAGGCTGGGGGGGACATGGCAACGGTCAAAGCGGCCTGGCAAACCCAGACCCCCCTCCGTGCCGAGCCCTTCCCGCCCCACACCGCCTCCCCAATGGCGGAACCCCAAGGCCCGAGTTCCAGGGCTGGCTGCGTGACACCACCGCCAAGCAGGTCGGCAAAGAGCAGTAAGAATGTACCGCCCGACTGGCGAAACCCCACGGCCCGAGTTCTAGGGCTGGCTGCGTAGCACCAGCACCGCCAAACAGGTCGACAGACTGAATGGGAGGGGGAGGTCAGAAAGTCAGAGCAAGGGCACGGAGCGTGCCGCGAAAGTAAAGTGGCGAGTGCAGCACAGACAAGACCCATCGGCAGAGCAACGTGTCCCTCCGGCTCAAGGCCCACACAGGACTGGTTGCATTGCCAATGGACGGAGCCCGATCCCGTGCGTGGGCGAACCTACGCACCTGGGTCAGCCTCCGCTGAGGCTTGCTGCAAAGGCAGCCGCAGCTGCTAAAAGGCAGCACCGAGCACAAAACCATGCTGCAAAAGTGTCGGAGCCCGATCCCGTGTGTGGGCGAACCTACACACCTGGTTCAGCTTCCGCTGCTAACAGCAGGCAGCTGCACGCGCGCGCACCGAGCAGAGGCCGTGCACGCGGTGAAAGACCGCCGAGGGCAGCGGCAAGCGACCTGACCGACAGCAGCGCAACTGTCCTCCTGGCCCCAGGCCTCGCAAGGGACTTGTTGCATTGCCGACGGTATCGGGCCCGATCCCGTGCGTGAGCGGACCTACGCACATGGTTCAGGCCCGAATTTGGCGAGAGAGGCTAGCCGTCCACTCGCCTGCGCAGGCGGCGCAGGGGCTCAGGGTCACCGATGCTGCCCTGCCCTGCTTGCTGCAGCCCTCGCTTGAGGCGGCCGAGCACCGCCTTCCGCCTCTCGCTCTTGGGCGCCCTCGGACACACCTTCGCCAGACCCGACATCCTGACACTCTGCGTCCAGTAGCCGCACTTGACGCAGAAGAGGTGATTGCCTGCTCGCCATAACTCGTGGGGGTCGTGCGGATCGAGCCCATGCCACGGTGGAAGCGCGGGCGGAGGCGGGGGCGGCGGCTGCGCTACAGGTGCCGCCCCCTAGTGCCCGCGAGCTGCCACGGCCGCGCCGCCGCAGCCAGACGAGGCTCCACCCCCTCCACCGTCCCGCTGGTCCCCGTCATCTGCTGCTGCTGCGCTATGCGAGCCGCTGGCCTGGCTGGAGAGAAAAGCCGCGCCCGCTGTGAGGAGAGCCGCGGCCGCGGCGACCGAGCCCGAGGCCCCCTCCGAACCCGACATCCACGAGCCCGAAGACGCTTCGCCCCGACCCGCGCACTCCTGGCAGGCCCAGAGTGTTCCGCTGCCGACCTCGAGTCATGTCCAATGTCTGCCACACGTCCTCCGCGAGCAGTCGCGAAAGCTGCAGTGGCTCCTCCAGCGCAGCTTGCGTCTCTGCCAGTCGCGCCGCGCCGCCGCCATGCCTGGCCCCTCATGGCCGCCCGCGGCAGCTCCGCGTCGCCCTCCTGCATGGCGGCGCCCAACCAGCGGAGTGCCTTCCTGGCGAGGCGGTCCTGGCGCAGGCTGCGCGCGCGAACCGCATCGTCCGCGGGGTGCATCTCAGCGCCCTGAACGGGGCGCGCGTCCGCACTGTGGTTGCCCCTGCGCTGCCAGGCGGTGATGCGCTCGGCCTGTGTGCGTCCGCCAGCGTCGCGTGGGCCTGCACTTTGTGGGCCGTGTCGTTGTCGAGGCCGATGTCCTCGAGCGCTCGCCACAAGCGAACCCGTAGCTCTCGGTCGGGTCGCTGCCACTGGACGCGCCGCGCCTTGCCTACTGCGAAGCCGTCCACGAGCAGCCGGCAGTCGGTGTAGATCCTGACTGGCGGGAGGCAGTCCTGTAGCCCTTCGATGGCAGCTGCAAGCCCCGGCCCCCGACTCTTGTGGGCATGGCCAAGGAAGCAGGCCGAAGATGCTGAGGGCCTCCTCGTCGCGACTCATGACGACGGCAGCCCAGCCACCCCGCGCTGAGACCAGGCTGGGGTCCAGGACGCTGCCGTCGGTAAAGAGGTCGCCAGCAAGTGGTTGGTCCACAAGATCGGCGCGCCCTTCCATGTGCGCCAGGCGCTCCTCCGTGGGCAGAGGGAGTGAGCGCCTGTGCTCGGGCGCCAGGGCCCGCGGCCGCAGCGGGTCCTCCGTCGCATCTGCGCTGGCCATGTCGACGAGGGTCCCGAAGTGGATGTCGTCGGGCGGCCTCCTCTCGTCTGCGTCGTCATTGGCCTCTCACTCTGCGCGGCCGAGCGCGGTGGCAGGGCGCTGCCGCGCCAGGTGCCGCGCGGTGCCGTGTGCATGGCGTCCGCGAGGGCACCGGGGCGACGACGCCAGCGGCCGCTCCTCTGCGAAGCGGCGCGCCACTGGCCGGAGACAGCCGACCAGCGCGTTCTTGGCCGAGCTCATCTGCCTGGCCGCTTGCTGGCTCATCCGCTTGCGGTGCAGGGTGCGCCTGATGCTGGACAGGGCCCCCCCTGCGGCCAAGTGCTCCAGGCCAGCATGTCCGAGTCGGCGATGGGAAAGGCGGTGCCCCCCCACCGGTGAGGCCAGCTCAGGCGAGCTCGCAAGCAACTCGCTCTTCGACTCCGACACCTTGCAGCCCGGCGCCACGAGCTGCGCCGCCGCGGCCTTGGTCGCCTGGGCGACGTGCACCGCGACCTGTGCCATGGGGTCGTGGCATCCAACGCAGCAGTCGTCGAACATGATGGCGAGGGTGACCCGGGGCTCCATCGCCCGCCATGGGCGCGCGTGTTCATCGGTCAGCGCAAGCAGGCCGCACTTCAGGAACCGCCCTGCGTGCGAGCAACCAGCGAGGAGGCCCGCGTCGAGCAGGCATGGGGTCGGAGACGCTACCGTCGAGCATGAAGCGCCGCGCGCCAGCGTGCAAGGTCAGCGCCATGCCCAGCAGCCCCCTCGGGTAGCCCGCCATGATGCTGCGGTCCTGGATGATCGCCAGGTCGACTAGCTCGTAGGCCTTCCACAGGTCCATGAGTGATGCCGCAGCTCCCTCGCCTCGTGCCTGCGAGGCCTCGGCTCGGAGCGCTTGCCACCAGACGGCCTCTTCGGCCGCGCGCCCGCGGCCGCCCCAGAATGTGCCGGCTACGCCTGGGTCGATCTGGGAGCCCCAGTGCCGCGCGTCTGGCTGACGGGCGCGACTCCACAGGCGTGGAAGCCAGCCCAGCAGGCCTACGGGCCGAATGCCCCCTGGAGGCTTAGGAAGCATCACCGCGAGAGAGTCGGTAATGACGTCGGGCCAGCCGCCCAACTCCTCGCACCGCATCCCGAAGTCGATGGTGACCTCCAGGAGGGCGGCGTTCAGGTCCGCTGCCTTTCTGGGGTTTATGCG